CCGGGGAGGGAAGGAGGCTCCCTGCATGTAGCCAGCACCTGGCCCGGCCCCACGTCCTGTGGCGGGGAGTTCCGCAGGCTCGGGGCGTCGGCCATGCAGCTCAGGCGAGCGTGGGGGAGTCTCGGGGTGGGGGGGGTCCTGGCAGCAGTGGGGTGGGGATGGGGGATGGGACAGTGGGCCGCTCCCCTCTGGGTGGCGCCAGCCCTGGGGTGGGGGAGGGGAGGTGTGAAGAAGGGGTGGGGCCTCGTCCCAACCAATCGGCTACAGGCGCAGTGGGGGTGTGAGGCCAGCTTGGACCAATCAGTGCTTTGTGGGGCGGGGGGGGGGCTGACTACAGTGCACCAATGAGAGAAGAGGGAGGCTTGGGCGGGAGGTTGGATAGGAACCAATTGGTTAAAGCTGGGGGGAGTGGGGAGTCGCCAATAGGCCAATCAGGACACGAGGGCGGCCACAGTGTTGTCCAATCAGAAAAGAGCGAACTGCGGAGGGTTCGGCCAGACTAATCCAATCAGAAAGCGAGGGCCGGACTAGGGTCCGCCAATGAGAATTCAGAGCGGGAGGTGGGTCTGGAACGCGCCAATCAGGGAGATACCGGGGCGTGCCAATCAGCGCACCGGCAGGGCGCTGACCCGGAAGCGGAAGTGGCGCCGTGCAGTGCGGACCTGAGGTGGGACCATGAACATCCTGCCCAAGAAGTCGTGGCACGTGCGGAACAAGGACAATGTAGCCCGCGTGCGGCGGGACGAGGCGCAGGCGCAGGACGAGCAGCGACAGCGGGAGGCTCGGGCCCTGCTGGCCGAACAGGAGGCGAGTTACCGGGCATGCGCAGACGGCAACGCGGGTGTAGCGAGTGCGCATGCATAACAATGGGAGCGCGTCCTACACCATGTGACGGGGTCACGGATTGAACCATTGTCAAATTGGGGGGTGAAATCTGGGTTGAACCATTTCCAAATCGGGGGAAGAGCAAAAGGGAGCTGGGCTGAACCATTTCTAAATGGGGGGGGAGGAGGCGGAGAGCGCTGGGATTTACTATTTTCAAATGGGGGAGGGGAAGAAAAAGAAATGGTAGTTAGGTGACCCACAACAGGGGGGAAGCAGAGCAGAAGGGAACTGGGGTGAACCATTTCCAAAGGGAGGAAAGGAGAGTTGGGCTGAACCATTTCCAAAGGGGGAGAGAAGGGAGCCGGGCTGAACCATTTCCAAAGGGGTGGAATCAGAGAAGGGAGCTGGGCTGAACCATTTCCAAAGTTGGGGAGAAGGGTGCAGGGCTGAACATTTCCAAAGTAGGGAGGGAAGCAGAGAAGTGAGCTGGGCTGAACCATTTCCAAAGCGGGTAGTTTTCTAACCCCACCTGCCCCCGTGGGGTGGCTGGTATGGCACATGCTGCACTGTTACCATCACCATGCCCTTGCCCCAGATGAAATGAGTTTCTTAGGCCTCAGCCTGATGCCATGCTGCCCTCGCCCCACCCCATCGCCCCCCAGCACAGAGCCCACGGGCTGCCCTGGCTCCTGCCACCTGCGTCAGAGCCGGCCCCACAACCAGCCCCCGTCTCCCCCTGCAGGCGCGGACCGAGTTCCTGAGGAAGAAGGCACGGGTGTCTGCCCTGCCAGGACCCGATGGCGGCTCGGCGCTGGCCCCGAGTGGCGAGGAGCCGCGCCATGTTGACCTCTTCCGGGACCTGGAGGAGGGCAAGGGCTCCAAGACTAGGAACAAGGAGTATGAGGAGGAGAAACGCAGGGAAAAGGTGTGTGTGGGGGGCGTGCGTTTGAATTTGGGGAGGGGGGGGCACCTGCATTCCTTGGGCATGGTAAGCCCCCCCCCCAGCTTGCTGGGGTTAGGTTGCCCCTACGTTGGTGCACTGATGGGAGGGGGCTGGTGCAGGGGGGTGGGGTATCTACCGCCCCCCCTGTTACAGGAGATGGGGTACAGCCAAGCCTCAGATCCTGGCATCTCGGAGTAGAAGGGACAAGGGTGGGGATTCACACACCCCTGTTGGAGGAGGCTATGTACAGAATTGGGGGTTCCCCCTCAACACATGCAGGTGCTCTGACACCTTTTATAGCTCAGCTGCCCTGCAGGCTGGGTCCCCTCTCAAGCTCTCTCCCCACTCCCATGAGCTGCCCTGCGGCTCCTGTACCCATAAGGCAAAAACCTCCCCCCGTGCCCTCTTCTACGATCAGTCCCGCCCTCTCCCCCACTTCTTCAAGGTGATTCAGTTCAGCACACTCCCCTCCCTGCTTTGCCCCAACCAGGAGCGGCAGGAGAAGGCTATCGGGCTGCTGACCTATCTGGGGCAGAGTGCGGCCGAGGCCCAGACCAGCCGGCCGTGGTACCAGGAAGCCCCTGACCGCAGCCGTGAGGCAGCCACGGTGACCACGCAGGAGCAGCTGAAGGGCAGACTGGACCCGCTGCGGGAGATGGAGAGGCACCTGCGCAAGAAGAAAGGGGAGGGGAAGAAGCGCAAGAAGGAGAAGGAGAAGCCAGCAGGCGAGAAGAAAGCAGTGGGGTGAGCAGGATGTGGGGCAGGGCTAGAGAGCAGCGCTGGATGGGAGTCAGGGACTACAAGTCCCAGCATCCACTGCTCCAGCCTGTTTCCTATGCACAGGGATCACAAGTCCCAGCATGCAATGTCCCAGTCCACAAGGACTACAATTACCAGCTTGCAATTTACTTCCTTTGTTCTCAGCTGCACGGGTGTGGGTGTGTTACTGAAACTATGAGTCTCAGCACGTACTCAACACACTTGTTCCTGGGCAGTAGCCTGGCTTACTTGTCCCAGCATGCATCACCCCCCTAGGAGGGACGATTGCATACTGGGAGTTGTAGTCCTCCTGGAACACACATCTAGAGACCACCTGGCGCAGGGTTGTAGGAACTCAATGGTTCCCTTCTGCTTGTCCTTGCAGCTCTGCCCCCCTCTCCCTGGAGCAGCTGCGGCGGGAGCGGCTGCAGCGGGAGCAGGCCGAGCGAGCCAGGACCGAAGCCCTGTTGGCCGGGCGGCTGGGGGAGCCCCAGCATGGAGAGGAGGAGGAGCCGGATGACAGGAAACGCCGCTACAACTCCCAGTTCAACCCGCAGCTGGCACGCAGGCCCCGCAGCTGGGACGAGAGGGAGCAGCACTGAGCCCTCCCAGCGCCCCCTGGAACTGGTGGCTGAAAACAGCGGGCCCTGGGCACAGAGACTCCTGTACCAGGGGTCACACGGCACGTGGAACAGGGACATTGGCATCACAGCAAGGCAGCCAGCTCGTGGTATCACTCTGCAGACTTGGGGGGGGGGGGGGGGAGGGGGAAGGATGACACCGAGTGCTGTCCTCTCTGCCACCCTCCTGGCCATGAAGGTTGGCATGGGGGTCATACTCGGGGAGCCACAACCCTCCTTGCTCTCATAGGAGGGTGCTGGCTGCCCCACTGGGGCCCCAGGCTGGACACTCACCTCTTAGTGCCTGGCGTTATTAGCAGCAGCAGGTACCAGGGGTTATCTGAATGCCCCACAAGGCAGGGGCTTATCTGCTAATAAAAGGCATCTGTCTTCGCTCACTCACGCACAGGAGCAGGGAAAGCTTGGATAGGAGCAAGCCCAGAAGGGGAAACCCAGTCCCAGACTCCTGGGTTCCAGCTGCGTGCTGGGAGTCAGGACAGCTGGGTTTTATCCCTGGCTTGGGGAGCAGGAGCCAGTGGGTTCAGTGGGGGCAGGGAGGCCCAGCCCCTTGTCAGAGTGGAGTTGAGTGGACTCCTGAGTTTGCCAGCTGGCTCTTTGCGGGGGAAGATATCAGGACTCCTGAGTTCTAATTTCCACTTCTGCCTGATTTCTTATATACCTCAACGGCTCCCCCACACAGTGCTCACTGTACCTCGGCTGCTGGGGAGGCCCAGCCCTTTAGCCATGGCGATGAAAAGCACCTGCTGCAGGGTGTGCCTGCCCCTCTGCTGAACCCCCACCCAGGCCCCACTGGAATCATTCACGACTCACACCTGGCTGGTAGGGCCCAGCTCCCAGCAGAGGATTGTGGCTTGTCTCCTTGTGCAGGGCAAATGCACAAGGCCAGCTCCCTGTGCCTTCCACAGGGCCCTTATCTGATGTGGGAAACTGAGGCATGGACAGTCCAGTCTCTTCTGGGGTTCCTTATGGGGTGGGGGTGTCTGTCTCTCCCTCACCAACCAGCCTGCAGCAGGGGGGATGGTTGCATCAGCCCCATTGCTAGGCCATGCCCACCCCACAGAAGGACTTTCCCAGCAGGCATTGGGGTTACCAATGCCAGGTGGGAGGGGGGGCTCCAGGGAGAGGGGTGGGGGGCTTTTAAACCTAAAGCAGAGCAGGCAGCAGGGAAGATCCTGCTCTGGGCCTGAGGGCAGGGAGGGGCGGAGCTTGACCCCAGAGCCAGGCAAGGTCCCCCATGGAACATATCACCCATCAGCTCCTGCAGAGGGGGCTGCATCTCCTCCCCCTGAATATACCATGCAGTCACCTCCTGCAGTGGGCTGGGGATCCCCCATCCCAGCCACTCACTGTCTGGGCGGGGGCGGCGAAAGAGCTGGCTGGGACTCTGGCACATAGTCATGTGAAATCTCCCCCTCCCCACTCCACTCACCAAGATATTTTCAGCATAAAGTGACACCAAAATAAGGTCTGGGATGAGTGAATGTGTGTGTGTGTGTGTTGGGGGGGGCACTAGATCCACAAGGAAAAAATGGCACAGGACGAGGGGCAGACTGCTGGCTCCTAGCCCCCGTTGCACTAACCACCCCACTCCCCTCCCCGAGCCAGGGAGAGAACCCAGGAGTCCTGGCAGCCCCCTTCGCTCTAACCACCCAACTCCCCTCCCCAAGCTAGGGACAGAACCTATGAGTCCTGGCTCTGCGTCTCTAAGCTAACCCCACAGCAAGGACTATATCTCATTCCTGCCCCCCGCCCTTACCTCTCTGATGCTGTCCACGGCGCAGAAAGCTGCCAGTTGCCGGTGACCTCCCCCCCATTTCTTGCGTGAGAAGACATCATATAAAACTATTTATTCATAAATATTTTCCAAAATGAAAATAGGGTTACGAAAAATATTTTAAACACCCGGCCCTCAGCGGCTGCATAGCACCTCGGGAGAAGGGGGGAAAGCAATCAGAAAAACAGCCTCCCCTTTTGAATTCCTGTCCGTCCCTCCCCCAAGGAAAACCCAGCCGATCTGCTCTGGGGCTGGATCTCATGGGAGTGGGGAGGAGACGAAAAATGGGAGGGGGAGAACTGAGGGGGAGGTGGGGTTTGGGCCCCCCCGGAGGAATTTGTGTGTGTGTGGGGGGGGGTAACAATAATTCTGCTGGATTTTTTGCTGCTTTAATTTTTTTTTTTTTTTTTTTTTAAAAAAAGCCAAATGATTTCATTCCCCTCCTGCAACACTCCTCCAAGATCATCTTTGTTCACTTTTTTTTTGGCCTGCGCATGTCCCTCTGCCCGCCCCCCCGCCAACACTCACCCAGGAAGGGGGGCTGGGGAATGGCTGAGTCCCCTCCCTTCACAGCCACAGCCCCCCCACCCATGTCTTTTAAAACTGCATGCATTTAAAGGGTTCAGATGGCCGGAGGGGGCCCCCGCCTGGGGGGGTTGGGTTGGGGGAGGTGGAATGGAGGTGGGGGAGGTGAGCTTGGCCTCTCCTTCCCTCCCCCACACCCCAATGTCTCGCCCGCGTGACTCTGGAAGGCTGGCGCCCCCTGGGGGGTGAGCAGGCGTCACTGCAGGTCACGGTCTTCTAGATACCGGTACTCGAAAGTGAACCCTTCCTTCTTCCGCTGGCCCCATTTCTCATAGTCGAAGTAGATGTACGTGCCCTGAGGGGGGAACATGGGGGGGAGGCATCAGCAGATGGGCAGAGCCTATGGTGCTGCATGTACCACTGCCTGACTTCGGGCCTGAACATGCAGGTTTGTTATCGTAGGGTCTCCCCATGGGTGCTAGGGCTGAGAGGGCCGGCTTTGACATGGAGGAGTCTGCTGTGGGGAGCGGAGTGACTTGTGATAGCAGGGTCTCTGAATCCCTTCCCCCATGGTAGTGGCCCCACCCCAGAGGTGGCTGCATTGTCCTGTGGGGCAGCAGCACGGAGGGGGGCCCGGAGGGAGGGGGAGGCACTCACCTGCTCAAACTCATCCGTGATGGTCTTGGGCTCCTCATGCCGCTGGAACCACATCATGTACTTGGTGTGGAACCGCCACGACTGCTTCTTCAGGGCTTTGGCCGCCAGGTACTGCGCCTTGGTGCCCTGGAGAGAGAACCAGGTGCGTCACACCGCTGGCCAGTGGGGGGCAGCACTTGGGGCAGCTGGGATCCTCCCACGGGGCTGGGGGGCAGCTGGGACACCCCGCCACCATGGGGCCTGGGTTGGGGGGGGGAAGCAGATGGCATGTGCCACTGGCTCGGGGGTAGCTGGGCACGTACCATTGGACCGGGGAGGAATGGGGAGAGACTTGGCCTGTACCACTGACACAGGAGGCAGCTGGGACGAGACCACAGGACCTGGGGGCATGGCTGAGCCCATACCACCAGCGTGGGGGTGGGCAATGGCTTGGTAAGTACCAAAGGCAGCAGGGGAGAAGGGGAATGTACCATTAGCTCTTCTTTTGGGGGAGGCAGACTAGCTACATAAAGACTAGCTACATTGCAAATAGAGCGATAGCACCATTCAGCATGTACCAAATGCTCTGGGCATGGGGGGGGGGGGGGAGAACTATTGACATACACACCCCTTGTCCCCTGTTGTATGTCTCATGTACCAACCACAGGGATGGTCAAGGGGGACTGTACCATCAGCACCTGTGGGGAGGATCCCCTCCCACATACCAGAGGCAGGTGGAGTGAGAGAGAGAGAGAGAGAGAGAGAGAGGGGGATCTTGGCACCTGCCAATGGCAGGGAAGGGAAATGTACCATTCACACCTGCAGGGAGGGGAGTTCCCCTTGCACATACCAACTGCAGGTGGCCAAGGAGGGGTGTGAGGTACCAATGGGGGAGGGGGAGGGATGGAGCATACCATCCACACCTGCAGGGAGGGAGTTCCCCTTGCACATACCAACTGCAGGTGGCCAAGGAGGGGTGTGAGGTACCAATGGGGGAGGGGGAGGGATGGAGCATACCATCCACACCTGCAGGGAGGGGAGTTCCCCTTGCACATACCAACTGCAGGTGGCCAAGGAGGGGTGTGAGGTACCAATGGGGGAGGGGGAGGGATGGAGCATACCATCCACACCTGCAGGGAGGGGAGTGTCAGGTGGCCGATGCGCAAAGCCAGCAGCGGTGGGGGGGGGCACGTTGGCAGCAGTCACCCACCTCGCCCCTCCTGCCCGAGGGAAAGGCGGCAGCGGCGGCCAGACAGGGCGGGACTATAGAGCGCTCTAGCCTGCAGAGGGGGCCCTTCTGTACCTCCAGATAGTAGAAGATGAAGAAGAGCGTCTCCGTGGAGAGCCGCTGGTAGAACTCCACGGTGTCCGAGTGCAGCGGAGGCATCTGGTGGTGGTAAGGGGGGGTCGGGCAGGGGTTCCGGGGCAGGTACTGCCTGCGGGGGTGGGGGGAGGGGATTAGACAGCCTGATGGGCGGGGGAGCAGCACAGTGTCTACTGGGAACAGAACAGAGCAGTCCTGGCTCCCAATCCCCTCCCCACTCCCCCCCGAGGCTGGAGATACAATCCAGCTGTCCTGGCTCCCAGCCCTCCCCGCTCTAACCACTATCCCCCACTCCCCTGCCAGAGCTGGGGAGATAACCCAGCTGTCCCGACTCCCACCCACATCCCCCCGGATCTAACCACTATCCCCCACTCCCCTGCCAGAGCTGGAGATACAATCCAGCTGTCCCGACTCCCACCCACATCCCCCCCGGATCTAACCACTATCCCCCACTCCCCTGCCAGAGCTGGGGAGATAACCCAGCTGTCCCGACTCCCACCCACATCCCCCCCGGATCTAACCACTATCCCCCACTCCCCTGCCAGAGCTGGGGAGATAACCCAGCTGTCCCGACTCCCACCCACATCCCCCCGGATCTAACCACTATCCCCCACTCCCCCCAGAGCTGGGGAGAAAACCCAACTCTCCCCCCCCCCCCCCACATCCCCCCCGGATCTAACCACTATCCCCCACTCCCCTGCCAGAGCTGGGGAGATAACCCAGCTGTCCCGACTCCCACCCACATCCCCCCCGGATCTAACCACTAGACCCTACTCCCTGCTCAAAGTCAAGGACTGAATCCAGGAGTCCTGTTCTCTCCAAGCCCCCAACATCCTAGGGACTGTGCCTTACCGGATCCTCTCGGAGTCCGAGGGGTGAGGCATGTGATGCCAGGCTGCCTCCTCCATGGCCTGCTGGTAGAGCTGCTCCTTGGTGAGGGGCACCGGTCCCAGGGGGCAGACCCCCAGGGAGAGAGGGATGTTCACCTCCGACAGCTGGATAGGCGGCTGGCTGGAGGCCGGCTGCGAGGTCGTACTACTAATTAAAATGTCTGCTGGGGGGACAGACAACAGACAGCCTGTTAGATTCCTCAGAGAGCGTTGGGAGCACAAAGCTTTAAAACCAGTTTATGCAACAATCCCTCGCCCGGTGCTGAGATGCAGCCACCCCTCGGGTGGGACGCAGGGGCTGGTCCTACAGAGACCCCCTCATCTGGAACTCTGCGTGCTTCACACTGCAGTCAGCTGTGCTGGGACACCATGTGCATGGGTGGAATCCCTTCCTGTGCTCCAGCAAGGCGCAAAAGCCTGAGAGCCTGCTGAAGATTGAACCCAGGAGTCCTGGCTCCCAGTCCCCCCCCGCTCTAACCACTAAACCCCACTCCCCCCCAGAGCTGGGGAGAGAACCCAGGAATCCTCACCCCTTTCAGCCAGGTGGAGAGATGGCACTGGGTCCTCTATACTGGATCCAATGGCTGCTCGCTCTGCCATGGATTTCAAGCTGCTCAGGGGCTCGGGCGCCTGGAAGTGACAGACAGGGTGGGTGGAAGGGAGTCCTGTGGCTGTGCCCTCCCATCCCCCGAGGTGCCCCCCCATCCCCCACACGGACGGGGCAGGCTCACCTTGATTTCTGGCGTGGAGCTGAACTGGGGTGGCCCGTTGAGCAGTGGCTGGCTCGGCTTGGCTTCGGAGAAGGACGGGGTCGGGGAGCTTGGGGTATTCACCGTCATGGGGACTAGCAGGCCAGAGCTGGCACTGGGGGGGCGCAGGGGCTCCGCTGGGCTCTTTCCTGGGGGAGAGGAGAGAGCGTCAGTGAGTGGCTGGTGGGGCTGTGGGGGGCGCGGCCGCCAGGCGGGTACTCACGCAGCGCTGCTGGGTGGGTTGTGGGCCACTGGCTGGCTGGGGAGCGCTGGCCCGCTGCTGCCGAGAACGGAGTCCGATGTGCTGTCAGCCACCACGGAGCTGTAACCTGAGGGCGGAGATGCAGCTCAGGGTGTGGGGGGCAGGGTAGGAGAGCACCCCATTGTTTAGAGCACCCCATGGCCGAGTTTGAAAAGTCCCAGGCAATCAGGCCAATGAGACACCCCCCTTCCCAACCAGGTTCAGAACCCAGGAATCCTGCTTCCCAGCCTGTCCACCTCAACCACTGGACCCCACTCCCCTGCCTCAGCTGGGGACAGAAGCCAGGAGTCCTGGCTCCCAGCCGCCGCTCTAACCACTAGATCCCACTCCCACCCTCCAGAGCCTGGCAACAGACCAGGGACTCGTTCTCTGTGCTGACCCTTGAACCGTGCCTCCTCCCGGCACTCACTGGTGGCCCCGTTCTGCTTGCTGGCGTTCTGCTGGGCGCTGGGAGGCCGGGGCTGCGAGGCGTTGGCACCGGGGGGCGGGGGCGCGACGGCCTGGGCGTAGGGGGTGGGGGTGCTGGGCGTGTGGCCGGCGACTGGGACGGCCTTGGCCCCACCGCTCCCGCTGCTGTTGGACACGGCTCCGTTGCTGCTGGAGCCCGGGCCGTTGCCCAGCGAGGAAGAGGTGCTGGAGCTGCTGCCCAGCTGGTAGCTGGGTGTGACGGCCGGTGAGGGCGGGGGGTGGTTGTTGTGGATGCTTTTCGAACCGTTCTTCGCGGGAGACTGTGGACAGACGAGGATTAGTCCTGCTCCCCCCCGACCCCAGAGCCGTCAATGGAATCCAAGAGTCCTGGCTCCCAGCCCCCCTGCTCTAACCACTAGACCCCATTCCCCTCCCAGAGCTGGGAGAGAACCCAGGAGTCCTGGCTCCCAGCTCCCCCCCACTCTAACCACTAGCCCTCACTCCCTGCCCCAGAGCCATCAATGGAACCCAAGAGTCTTGGCTCCTGGACCACACCCTGCTTTAATCACTAGACCCCACTCCCCCCGCAGAGCTGTGGAGGGAATCTAGGAGTCCTGGCTCCCGGTATCCATGTGCTCCCACCCCTGGATAAGGCAGGCAGACTTGCTGAGCAGGCAGGACCCTACCCAGGGTCGTGGCAGAGCCGGGCTCCACACCCAACTCTGCCACAGTGGGCCAGGGCAACCCTGGGCGAGGCAGTGAGCCTCTGCCCCAGCTCTACAAGCGTTACGTGCTATGGTGAGGGACCTGGCCCCGCTGCTGCCCAAACACACTGGGCCAAAGCATCAGGAAGCATGGAACTCGCTGCTGCAAGATGGCACTGGCTGGTCCCCAGCGGCACCGAGCCTGCCGTGCGAGGGGCACGCCGGGAGCCTGCACAACGTCTCAGCGCTGATGGGCCCCACACCAGCAGCTGAGAGCCACGGGCACTGCCCTCTCTGTGCAACCGAGCCAGGCTTGGGGGTGTGGGGGGGTGTGTGTCTCTCTGTCCGGTTTGCTGTTTGTGAGCATTTGAGAGTGCTCTGCCCCCGAGGCCCTTTCTCTGCTCCCCCACCTGTGTGGGGCTGTGGCGGGGAACTCACTTGGACCCCCCCACTGCTGATCTCTCCCTGCACCTGAGTCCCCGCTCAGAGGCACATTGCTCCCCACAGCCCCCTCACTCTGACCCCTCCCCCCAAGCTCCATGGGCCCCCCACTCTGAGCCCGCCCCATTTGTGTCACCATAGCCCCGCATTCTGACTCCAATAGCCCCCACATTATTAGCCCAGCCCACCTGAGCCTCACAGCCCCCCGAGTCCCCGTATCTCCCCCATTCTGACCCCACCTGAGTCCCCACAGCCCCCCCACTGAGACCCCTCCCCACTGCCCCCCACTCTGACTCCTCCCCACCTGAGCCCCACAGTCCCCCCACTGAGACCCCCATAGCCCCCACTCTGAGACCCCATAGTCCCCACAGCCCCCCCACTCTGACCCCTCCCCACCTGAGCCCCACAGCCCCCTCACTGAGTCCCCATATCTCCCCCATTCTGACCCCACCTGAGTCCCCACAGCCCCCCTACTCCATCTGAGCCCCACAGCCCCCCCCACTCTGAGCCCTCCCCACTGAGACCCCCATAGGCCCCACTCCGAGGCCCCATAGTTCCCACTCTGACCCCTCCCCACCTGAGCCCCACAGCCCCCCCCGACCCCAGCCCCCACCTGAGCCCCACAGCCCCCCCCACCTGAGCCCATAGCTCCCACTCTGAGGCCCCCACTCTGACCGCTCCCCACCTGAGCCCCACAGCCCCCTCACTGAGTCCCCATATCTCCCCCATTCTGACCCCACCTGAGTCCCCACAGCCCCCCACTCTGAGCCCTCCTCACCTGAGCCCCACAGCCCCCCCACTGAGACCCCCATAGGCTCCACCTGAGCCCCACAGCCCCCCACTCTGACCCCTCCCCACCTGAGCCCCACAGCCCCCCACTGAGCCCCACAGCCCCCCACTCTGACCCCTCCCCACCTGAGCCCCACAGCCCCCCTGCTGAGTCCCCATATCTCCCCCATTCTGCCCCTCCCCACCTGAGCCCCATAGCCCCCACCATGAGTCCCCACAGCCCCACTCATAGAGCCCCGTGACCCCCCACTCTGACCCCAGAAGCTGAGCCCCGCCCCACTCTGACCACGCCCCACTCGAGCTCCCCAGCTCACTGCAGGTGGGTAGCCTGGCCCCACGGCAGCCATCCCAGCAGCCTCCCAGGGCCAGCCCAGGCCACGGCGGCCCCGCCCTGCGCCTCACTGGAAGGAGGCTGGGAGGGGCGGGGCTAAGGGCCCATGTGATCCCAGCCCCCCAACAAGGAGCAGGAGGAGGCGGGGCTAAGGCAGCCCCACCCACTCGCAGCTCAAGTGGCCGGGGCAGCCATGTTCCCAGGCTTCCCCACGAAGTCCTCACCAAACCCTGTATTAGACCCGCCCCCCAGCCGAGGGAACCCAGGAGTCTTGGCTCCCAGCGACCCCCCCCCAGCTCTAACCACTCACCCCCCAGAGCAGGGGAGAGAACCCAGGAGTCCTGGGTCCCAGCCGCGCTCCCCTCCCCTCCGAGAGCCGGAGAGAACCCAGGAGTCCTGGCTTCCAGCTCCCTGCTCTAACCCACTCGCCCCCACTCCCTTCCCAGAGCCGGGGATAGAACCCAGGAGTCCTGGTGAAATCCCCAAGCTCCGATCAGTAGCCAACACCCCACCCCACCACACCCCCCAGCATAAGGGCAGGCGCCCGCCAAGTCACTCACCTGACTGACCTCGCTGTCTGTCGACCGCCCCCTCTTCTTGTCATCTTCCGAATTCTCCTGGGGGTGGGGGGGACAGTCAGTGCTCGCCCTGCCACTCCCTGTGGAGATGGGGGGACCAGCCCTGCCACGGGGCAGCCAGCACACGACACACTGATGTCTCCCTCGTTATTGGGGTCACTCTGCCGGTTGACTCTGTCCTACCCATGGCACTGGAGGCCTGGTGTGGCTGGGCCATGGTCACTGTTATCGGGGGCACATGCACTGGACATCGCTGCCATGAGGCAGTGCCCCTTTGTTCTCACCCCTAGTTCCCTCCTCCCATTTCCCTAAGCCAGGAGAGCCCAGGTGTCCTGGTTCCCAGCCCCTCCCCACCCCCCACCCCGCTCTAACTACTAGATTCCACTCCTCTCTAACAGCCAGGATAGAACCAGGGGGTCCTGACTCCCAGCCCCCCCCGCTCTAACCACTAGACTCTGCTCCCCTCCCAGAGCCAGGAGAGAACCCAGATGTCCTGGCTCCCCGCCCCCCTCACTAGGTAATGCTGCCTTCCTTAAGGGACACTGACCCAGCACCCCTGCCGCTGGGTTACCCTGGCTGTGCGGGAGCCTGCCTGCGCAGGCCTCCGACTGTCCCACTTTGTACAGGGCTGGGCGACGGATCCCACTGGGGCAGGACTCGAGCGGCAGGGCTGTGCCAGGTGGGGGCGGGGCTCCTTACCGTCGTGCAGTTGGCAGGGCTGGGCGGAATGGGCGAGCTGGAGGTGGTGGAGGTGGGAGTGCTGCTGGACTGGTTGAAGATCTCGTCCTCCAGATGGCTGTGGCTGGGCGGGGAGGTGGCTACCAGAGCCTGCGCTGGAAGGGGGCGGGGAGCAGAACAAGACGCAGTTAGGCAGCCAGGCTGGGAGTCAAAGACGCCGGCATCCCGCCCTGCGCCTGCATCCGGTCTGCCCTGCTTTCCCGGAGAGAAAACCGGAGATCTGTTCCAACCGGAGTTCTCCCAGGCCACGTACCCAGGGAGCTGAGATCTCCCAGCTGTGGTCTTGTCTCCCTGCTCGCCCGGGGGGACGCTTTGGATGGAGGGTAGCGTTCCAATTCAGGAACGGACGGGAGCAATTTCTTCTAAACTCTCTGTAAACACCAATGGCCTGAACACACTTTGGAGAAAACTGTTCTGGGATAAAACCCCCAACGCCTCTAGCCAGGTGATTAACAGGCTGCAAAGCGCCAAGGCTCCACCTCCCCAGCTCCTCCAGACGTAATCCAGGAAAAGCCGAAGAGGAACATTTCCAGGCCTTTCCAGAAAGATGCAAGGAAATGAAACACGCTGTTGCTAGATTCGGGGGCCTCACAAAGCCACACTTGGGGCAATTGGAACCGCGGGGGCTCCTGGCTTCTGCGGAGAGAATCTCTCCTCTGATCGATCTAAAGGCAAAGCCCTATAGTAGCCCTGGCTCCTGGGGGAATCTGCGCCAGGATTTCTGAGCAGTGGCCCCCTCCTTGTGCCCCTTTGACAGCCAAGGCATGCCCTCCCCAGCGATCGCACAAGGGATTGCGGGGGCGGGAGGGGAATGAGACACGGAGAGCAGGAAGGCGCGAGCGAAATCGGCTGAAGACACACAGTCTTTGGGGGCAGCGTGACTCCAGAGGAGCGGTGCTTTCCACAGGCAGGACGGGATGACCTGCAGGACCCGAGTCATAGAAATGGGATGAGATTTAACCATACAAATTGCACGGGCCCTCCCCCGACTATTTCAGCTGTAAGACAGGGGCGGTTCCCCCGGTTGCTGCAGCTGGGACACGGTTGTGAAAAAAGCCAGCGAGACCTCGGGAGGCATCTGCAGCAAGGCGAGGGGAGCCTGGATTCCACTGGGAAGCCCTCAGCCAACCCTCCTCACGGCAGGGCGGGCGGTTCGGCTAAGCGAGGGGGTCCCTTCCCGGTCTGGGTTACCTCTGGGTTCGGCTGCTCCAATCCCGGCTCTGGTTCTGGGGTCCCTAACCCAAGCAGGACGCCGATCAGCTGGAGAGGGCCCAGCGACCAGCCAGGCGGACGCTGAAGCGGTTGGAAAAACCTGCCCTCCCGCGAGAGACCTGATCAGCGGAACACAGACGGTGACCGGGGGCGGGGAACTCGACCCCTGTCTCTGCCCCGCGGGAGCCGGGACACTTACGAATGTCTTCTAAGTCGAGGTCATCGTAGAGAAACTCGTTCTCCTCGAAGTCGGGGTCCTGCGAGGAGTCCACGTAATACTCCACGTCGTCCTTGATCTTGCGGATCGAGTCCACCTGGATGGAGTCATTGTCCAGCATGCGCAGGATGGTCTCCAGCATGCGGATGTGGTATCGGTGCTTTTCGATGTGCCGCTTCAGCCCCTCGATCCGGTCCTGCTTCTGCGGGGAAGGGGCATGGGCAGATGGACACACGCCGAGAAACGGCCCCCTCTGCCCACACCCCGCCTCTCCAGCCACAGCGCACAGCACCCCTTCACTAGCCCCCACTCCCTGCCCAGAGCCAGAAGAGAACCCGGGAGTCCTGGCTCCCTGCCCCCTCCCCCCTCTAACCACTAGCCTCCACTCCCCTCGCAGTGCCGGGGATAGAACCCAGGAGTCCTAGCTCCCCGCACTCTTGTCCCCCGCCACGGTGCCACCCCACACATCCTCCTTGTGTCCCAGGCAGGCAGTGACTCACATCCTTGTCCCCCTTCTTCTTGCGTGTCTGCACAGAGAGTGACTCCACCTCGCTCTCAAACTGATCCACCTGCATGTTCAGCGTGTCGATGGTGTTCTGGGGGGGGGAAGGGGGGAGAGCCGCACACTGTCATCCCCAGTGCTGTCCCCAGGGGCTCCCAGCTGCTGCCAGCCCGCAACCCCCCCGAGACACTCGGCAGCCGCTCCCCACCACTACCTGGGGCCTTCCCTGGTGCTTCCTCACTGAAGATCGCAGGCCAATATAAAGCCTCCAACTGCCCTACAGAAAGGCGGTAATCCATACAGGGGCCCCGCGCCTGGTGCTGGGATGCGACCTCTTCTGGGGTGTGGTACAGGGGCTAGTTATCCAGGGAGCCCTCATGGGCACTGAGACACGAGCTCTCTGGGGTGGGGTGCCGAGGCTGTTCAGGACGAAGCGCCACACTGGGGCTTTGGGACCAGCAGTGACTGTGAAGGGAGAGCACCCCCCCGAACCTCCCGCAGCATAGCGCCCCCTAGGGCTGCCCTGGAGACAGCAGGGGAGAGAGCCCTGTTTTTTCTCACAGCTTTGGCCTTGCCCCATGCCCCCATCAATCTGACCCCTGCTTAGCTGATCAGGAGACCCCTGCCCCCAGCCTCACCGTTAACCACTGGCCGACCTCTTCCTTCTCCTTCTGGGCAGGGTCGACTTTCTGCGCCAGGCCCAGCCCCTCCTTGGAGTAGGCTTTGGTCTTGGTCTCCCGCTCCACCACCTTGAACCGCTCCATTTGCTGGAACAGGAGAGAGGGAGGTGGGGGCGGGCTCAGTGTCTGGGGAAACAAGGGGGAGTGTCCCCACCCCCACACAGGGGATCAAGAGACCCCAAGAGACATAGGGGCTCCCCCCACCCCAATCCTGTCCAGGGGCATGGCAAATATAGCCCTGGTTGGCCATGCCTGGCAGCCTCTCAGCTGCACCTGGCTCCCAGCCCCTCCCTGCTCTAACTACTAGACCCCCCTCCCCTCGCCAGACACAGAACCCCGGAATCCTAGCTCCCTGCCCCCACCGCTCTCCCGTGCTGCCTGCTGTCATTCAGGACCCAGCCTCATGCCCAAATGGCCCCAGTCCGGCCCTACCCCTTCCAGATCTGACTCCACCTGTCCCTGCCCTGCCAGCTGGCTGCCCTCTGTGATGTCACACTGCCCCACCAGCCAATCACAGCAGAGGGAGGAGTGGCTTATTGGAGAGGAGGGTGGGGCTCAGGTGAGTGTGTGGGTGGATCCCCCCCTTCCCTGGAGTGGAAAGCACCCCCAGTGCCCATAGGGGAGGCCTCGCCACCCAGGAGGCATGATCCCAGCTGCTCTCACTCAGCCCCCGAGCTTTAAACCCTCTGTGTGCCGTTCTCTCCATGGCTGGGACTGCCCCGAACGGATCCCCATGGGGGCTGTGCTGGGAGAGAAGGGCCCAGAGCTGGGCACAGCTGCTCATGGGGGGGCTCCAGGATCCCAGAGACTGGGCCTGGGCATCACTGGAGGTGACCGATACACCGATCCCCTCGCAGTGCATGGAGACCTGCTGTCGGGGGTGTGGGTCGGGGACGCTGGCCCCACAGAGGCTGCCAAGAGGATTGCGCAATGGCTGTGCCAGGATGGGAGTGACACTACGCCACTGGCAGGGGGAGCTGAGCCCTGGTGCTGGGACATCTGGTGTGCAGGAGTCCTGGCTCCCAGCACCCTGCTATAACCACTAGACCTCACTCCCCGCCCCAGAGTCAGGGAAAGAACAAAGGAGTCCTGGCTCCCAGCCCCCCCAAACTCCACTCCCCTCTCAGAGCTGGGGAGAGGACCCAGGAGTCCCGGCACTCCTCCAACTCCCCCACTGCTGCCTCCTGCGAGTGCAGAGTGGTTGAGCGCACAGGAGCCTTCTCAGTGCAGTGTTGCTAGGGCCGGCCCTACCAGGCCCGTGATCCACCAACCCCAGACACAGCCAGTCAGCACGACCCCCATGACGGTCGAGAAGCAGAGCACAAAAACCCCTTCCCCTGCTCTCACCCACCAGTCCCAGCAGATCAACTGGCCGGCCCTTCCCGCCATTTGCTTTCCCCCAGCGCCCGGAGACCTTCGCCAGATCGAAGCATCTCCGCCCACGGAGGAAAAACCCGCCAGTTACAGCTCTGGATCGGGGGCAAAACTTCCTTCCTGACCCCGAGAGGCTGCCGCCCTGAAGCCTGGCCATTACCCCCTTTGGCCTCCTACCGTCTCAATGAGTTTCCGGTTGTCTATCAGCTGCCTCTTGTCCTTGATCTCATTTGAAGCTACCCACGTCTTGATCTGGTCCCTCAGCCTCTGCAGAGATGGGGTGAAGAGAGGGGAAGGGTCAGCAGAGAGACGGGCCCATAGCACCCACCCACCCACCTCACTTAGACCCGTAGAGGCAACAGCCAACACTGCCTTGGTCTGGACGTGGGAGAGGTAACGAGGACACCCAGCCACTAAAAAGTCCCCCCTGCCCCCAATGAGCCCCCACCAGCTGGGAGGACGCCCTCTGCAGAGTGGGGTGAGAATCGCAAGCTCTGGTTTAACAGGGAGCACAAAGATCTCGCTGGACAATAAGGGGAGGTAGAAAGGCGAGACAAGGAGAGACTGGGGGTCACGAGGCCAGGGTTCTATTCCTGGTTCTGGAAGGGGAGTGGGCCTAGAGGTTAAAGCAAGGGGGAAGGGAGCCAGGAGTCCTGGGTTCTATCCCCAGCTCTGAGAAGGGAGTGGGGTCCAGTGGTTAAAGAAGGGGCTAGGAGCCAGGCTGGGTTCTCTCCCCAGCCCTGGGAGGGGAGTGGTGTCCCGTGGTTGAGAGCACAGGTGGCTGGGAGTCAGGACTCCAGCGGCGGGTGTTTTCCCGACAACCACGGCTGAGACCACGTATCCCGAGGGCTCCAGCCGGACAGATGGCCGAAGTGCTGGGCCCTACCTGGAGCTTCTTGATCTCCTTCTTCAGGTCAGCTTCATACTTCTCCTTCTGGTTGGCGTTTGCTGCATTGTGGAGCTGCAGGCGAGAGACAATGGGTGAGACAGTGTGTAGGGGGATGGGACAGAGTGCCCTTGGCGGGATGGGACAGAGTGCCCTTGGCGGGATGGGGGTGGCGCCCTGATCCGGTGTGGAATCAGTTGGGGGGCTACAACAGCCAGAGAGGAGGGTCTGGGGGGATCCAATGTGGGGTGAGGCCCAGAAGGCTGGGCTGCCCTATCCACAGTGAGATGTGGGGTGGGGGGAGGGGGCTGCCTGCTCTGGCGTGATGTAGGGTATGGGGGCAGGGACACAAATAGCTCTTGGGGTGGTGTGGGGGGCAGCGAGGCCGGGGGAGAGAAGAGAATTGATACAGGAGAGAAAAGCAGAAAAGTTTAGGGACAGGGAGAGAGCAACGTGGGGGAGGATGAGAGAGTAGGGCAGCGAGCCGGGGGTGGGGGTGTTTGAGGCCGAAGGGGGAGCTCTTACCTTCTGCCAAATATCCTCAAACTGTTCCACCCCCTCGGAGACCTTCTTCAGACACCGATCGATCTCACCTGGAGGAGCAGAGGGGCGAGGGTCAGCCCCAACCTCCGACAGGGCTAATTACTGCCACCTGCTTCCCCCCCCCCCCCCCACTGAGCCCAGTGTGAGGTACAGGGGAGGGAGAAGGGACGGGCCTGAGGTCACACAATGAACCTCAAATAGAACTCAGGAGTCCTAGCTCCCAGACCTCCCCCAACCGCCTCGCTCTAACCACTAGACTCTACTCCCCTCCCAGAGCCAGGGAGAGAACCCAGCAGTCCTGGCTTGCAGCCCCCTGACTCTAAATGCAGCCGTGACAAACTCCATCGCTCCAGCTCTCACAAAGTAGGGAACACACATGGGGGAAGGGGAAGAGGCCCCTCTCTTTGCCCGCCCCCCCATACATGCCCCCAGCCATGCACCTGCAGGAGGAGCCGCCCTACCTTGCAATTTCCTCTTGTCAGCCATGTTTCGGTCACTGGCGGGGGGCTCTCCTCATGCTTCAGAAAGCTCCAACGCTGCAGGGGACAGCAAAAGAAGGTTACGGTAATGCACCCTCCCAACCCACTGGGAAGAGCCCCTGAGCCAGCCAGTCCCTGTCTTGGGGTCGGATGGGAGCCGGCACCCCCTACAGGGGAGAGGCCCCGGGCCTCTTTTCCCCCCCACCTCAGTCAGCCAGTCTCTCATCATATTCTTTGATCAGTTGTGCCAAGACTGTTCATTCACATACCCCCAGCCCAGCAGGGGGCAGCGCTGGGACACAGCCACATACCCACCCCAGCAGCAGGGGGCAGGGCAGCACACACCCACCCAGCCTTCAAGTCAAACCATGAAACAGCAGGTTTACGGGCCGGGCGGCTGGCCCAGAAGGGGCCCGGCTGACGGGACGCTGGCCGCGTGGCCCCTTGCCAGAGCATTGCTGCCGGTGGCCCTGAGGCTGGCTCCCTGGGGCGTGGCGCAGAAGCTGCCAGCATGGGCCAGGGCTGGGGAGACAGGCAGGATTCAGGTGTGGCTGGGCGTTAACCCCGAAGCCGACCGCGCCTGGAGTCTGAGCGGAGCCAGCTCGGTTCTCAGCGACTCGGGACCGGCAACCCCGGGCCGGAGGACTGTGGGCGACGGGAGCGTGGGGAGGAGACCTCAGCCTATGTGAACAGATGCCGCCTGGACCGGAGCTGGTTCAGCCACCGGGCTAGTCCGGATCCTGTTTGTTATTTCCTTGGAGGGGGCAGAGACGGGGCTTCCCTGGGCTGCTTCACACCGAAGGACTGATTCTCAGGAGGGGCCGCCCTGGATTCTGTAGTGCAGCCCCCGGTGCGAATCAGGGCAGCTCAAGTGTGTACTCCGGTCTCTGGGAGACAGAGAAAAGCCACAGCCAAGGATGCCCTGGCCAGGCCCCTGATCTGCTCCCTATGGGCTTTGGGGGGCAGGGAATAGCGCCAGTGCAGTGTGCCCCAGCCACCCCTGATTCACCCCTTATGGGCCTGGGGTGGGAGGGGAGGGTAGAAAATAGCTCCAGTGAACTGTGCCCAGCCAGGCCCCTGATCTGCCCCCTCACCCCAGCAATGCACCACCCCAGGGAAAAGTGATTCGGAGGGGACTGTTTCCACCCCCTTTGTCCTCTCCAAGGGGTCTGGGCTTTACCGGCTAAGGGCTGTTTGCTCAGTTTCACTTCCTGGTTCCCCAGGAAGCAAACCATAAGGGATGGGGAGGTCAGGTCATACGCCAAAGAACTTTCCCCCCTTAGGCATGGGGGGAACCCCCTTGCTTCCGAACAATATACTGGAGGCCTCAGGAAGCTGGCCATGTCCCTTTAATCTGCCCCCCCCAAGAGGCCTAAGGGAGGATTCTCAGCCAGCTCCCCACAGCGATCATCTTGTCTGCCCCCCGGGGGCACACAACCCAGCAGGATTGGCTAATTGCCACTGATGGAGAAGCCACACCCAGCCAATCCTTCCAGATGTTAATTACGCCCCCCCCCCCATTAAAAACCTGCCCCTTATTTCCAATCTGAACTGGCCAAGCTTCCCCTCCCAGCCAGTGGCCCTGGTAAGACCAGTGCCTACCAGCCCAGGGAGTCCCCGGGCAGCTGTTTGCTCCCCATGCAGGGGCTTGTAGGCGGGGAACTGTCACCCCTGAACCTTCTCTTTGTTCAGCTACACAGGCGGGGCTCTCCTGACCCTCTGTGACTGATCAACCCCTGGCTGGGATGGGGGACCCCAAGCTGCCCCCAGGATCCCAGCAGTCTCACCTCAGGGCCCCTCACTGTGCCCCCCACAATCCTATTAGCCCACATGACCCCAGTGTCTACTGAATAGCTGCCGTGCCCCCCAAGTGCTTTGCAAGAGGCCAAAGGGCTCTGGCTTACCTAGAGGTGGCCTGGCTGTCTAGGGCCTGCAAGTGGGAGGCTCCTACACAGGTGAAAGAGGCACATGACTGGGAGGAAGATTGAGAGCCCCTCCCCCCCAGCCTGTGCTGCAGCATGGGATGATGGGAAAGGACTGGGGCTATAAAGACTCAGTAGTCGAAGACTGGGCTCTGGGGTGTAAGTGCCACACCTGGGGGAGGAGACCTGCAGCACGTGGCGGCCCCCTTTGTACAGGGCTTACAGAGAGAGGTGAGTGTCGCCAAGCCTGCTTTGCAGGTGGGGAAACTGAGGCACAAAATGGGGCTGTGATGTACCTTGAGTCATGCAGCAGGCTGGAGTAGAACCTGTGAGTTCACGCCAATTTCCTCCTGCTCTAACCACTAGACACCACTCCCCTCCCAGAGTTAGGGAGAGAACCCAAGAGTCCTGGCTCCCAGCCCCCATGCTCTAACCAATCGCCTACATTTTCTCCAGTTAAAACACATGTTGGCCTTTACACACCAAGTAGTGTGAACTGATTTGATCATTTTAGATTCCAACCTGCCACCAATTGCTTAAGATAGTGAATTGGGCTTGTGGACTATGCTGGAAGGGGGGTGGTTGTGGGGAGCTGTCTGAATGGTACAGCGTGGGCACCTGCTTGGTTTTCTCCTGTCGGATGAGTACGTGTCACTACTCTTCTCGTGAGACTGGCAATAAACACAATGATCTAGGGAGAACCCAAGCCCCCCATATCCTGCTAAACACCTCGGTGCCCCTGGAAAAAATCATAGTGAGCGAGGGAGCAAAGGGAGTCTGTGGCTGAATAGGGCTCTCTGGTGTCCCAATCCCCTGCCTTGCCCACAAGCACCCCTCACAATCAGCTTGTAAAGCTCCCTGCCCTGTGAGGCAGGGACTGTCCTGTGTCCGTACAGCGCCTGGCACAATGGGGGCCATGCTCTGTGACTGGCATGAGCAAAACCCATGATTAATCCCATAACTGTACAGCCAGAAACTAGGGGGAGTGGGAGTAAAGTGGTGCACCTGGAAATGACTTGGATCCTTCTGAGACTCGGCTATGCCAGGGTGAAAGGGACCTGCAGAGTAATTCCAATACAATTGAGCGACCTGGTCAATTTCCCTGTGGCCAGGCAAGCCCTGAAATTGATCAGATTGAGGCTGCCCCTTTAAATTTGGATCAAAACATTCTGGAAACCAGCAACTTGTTTTAATCCACCCGAAGATCAATGGACAAGCTTCCCCAAAGGGAAGTGTGCAGATTTTAGAAGAGACTGTTGCCCAGCAATGTCTGAAAGCCAAAAAAACAGAGACTGTCCACAAACAAAAGCGATGGCTAAATCCATTTCTGAGCTGGTCCTGTCTCCTGTGGATCAACAGAGATGCAAAGGCCTGGGGATGCTACTGCTTCTGCTGATTACCTCCCCTGAGAAGACTGAGGAGCAGGGATCCCAAAATCAAATCCCCTGACACAGATGTGGACGGGAAGATTGGGCCTTATAAATTTTGTAAAGGTTGGGGAACGGGACACTTTCCTGCTCTGGGGGGCACGACTCTGATCTGGCCCCAGAGCAGGGGGGAATGGTTGGCTTATGGTAGGGAACAGGACGAGGCCTTACCCTTCTAGGGGGCAGCAGCTCTGATCCGGCTGCAGGGCAGGGGTCTGGCCAGTTTTGGGGGGAGGAATGGGATATGGGGCTTCACCTAAGGCAAATAGATTCTTTACCTGGCTAGTAGCAGTTGTGAGCAGTTGTCTGTTTTCCAACCCCCCCCCGCAGCCGTGGCCCGGCTGTCTTGGTACCAGCTGGCACTAGGGCCCAGCTCTCTGGGGAGTGCGTGGAGGCAGAGCTGCTGGCAGAGAGGGACAATAGAAGGGTTTAGGGAGACATCCCATGGGCAGCATACCCACCAGGGATCATGGCCAGAGCCCTGCTGCCCCCCCCCCGATCCCATCCATGCTCAGGGAGGGGGCTGTGCCCCCAGAGGGCATCCAGTAACCAGCCCTTTTGTGGAGTGGTGGGAAGAGAACCCAGGCGTCCTGCTGGCGGATCTACTGCTCTAGCCACTAGGCTGCCTGCCTGCCCCCTAAGTTGGGGGGGAGGGGGGACGGGGACGGACACCCAGGTGTCCTTGCTCCAGCTGCTAGCTCCCCGCCTGCGCTGAAACACCACACAACTGAATAAGGGGAGAAGGGGGACACGGGGGCCCCCCCTGTGCTGCCCCCCCCCGCAGCACTCGCCCCATGTCCCGCCCCCGGGCTGCTCCCCGGCCCGGGAGCCCGCTCGGCAGCTCACAGGGCTCCGGGAATAAAGGCTCCTCCCGCTTGACACCCCGCAGGCCCCGCACCGATCCCCCTTTCCCCCGGGGGCCTCCTGCAGCCGCTACAGCCCCCCGCGGCAGAGGGCCCCCGCGTGCGCCCTCCCCCGATGGCGTCCCCGTACCCCCTCCCCGGCCCCTCCCCCCGGGCCCCCCCTCACCGGAAGCTCCTGCGGGCCGGTCGGGCCCCGGGGATCGGTCCCCTCCCCCCCGCTCGCGGGCCGACTGTCGCGATGCTGGCGCCGCTCAGCCGGGTCGCGACCCCCTCCCCCCCCAACTCGCCGCCGCCGCCGCCGCCTCTCGGGCTCCGCGGCATCCAAGATGGCGGCCGGCTGCCTCCGTCCGCCTCTCCGCCCCGGGGCAGGGCCCCGCCCCCCCGCCTGCACCCCATTGGGTTTGCCGCACGCCCCTTAAGTCACTTTGTTCTCCTATTGGCTACATTAGATATAGGCGGGGCAAGCCAGGGGACCTGCCTATCCCTTTATATGTCAATCAACGCCCAACTTCCTTCTTATTAGCCTCAGCACACATCCGTCAGCAATCCTCAGCGTTTATTGGCCGAGAAGGACGGGGTATAAAGGAGGCTCGCCCACATGAGAGCAGGAAGGAAGGGGCGACACCCGTCACAGCTCGGTCTCCCCCATTGGTCGGGGGAGCCGCTCATGAAACCACTCTTGCAGCTGATTGGCTCCCAGCCCGGAGGCCGTGGATAGCTCGATCGCAAAAGTGGGGGAGGCGGGTTGATGGATTCGCCAGACACTGATTGGCTGAGACGATGGACGAAAGACCAATAGTTGTAGCGTGCAACGAGGAGGTGGACTTAAAACATATTGGTGATAGCTATTGCCCACTGAGGTTCTCACTCAAACCCCTAAGGACCAATAGGATTGAAGACCACAGGAAGGGCCCGCCCCCTGGGTACTCAGGGCAATATTGCATTATATGCCCCAGGCCTTAAAGGGCAGCTGGGCCCCAGCAGGGCCAGGGTGCAAAGGGGCCCCACCGAGGCAGCAGGGGAAGGAGCATAGGAGAACCCTGGCCCCTGAGGGAATCCAACCAACAAGGGCAGGGGGAGCCTGGAGCAGCCTAGGCCTGAAGAACCCCCCAGCCCTAGGGCAGCAGTGTGTGTGGGGGGGGATCCAGCCCCCGGAAGGGGGGCTGGGGCAGCAGAATGTGGGGGTGGTGGAGTTTCCACACAGTGGGGACAGACCCTGTACCCAGGAGAGCACCCACCTGCAAGAGGACTGGATGATGGTGCTTAGGCTGGGACAGCTCCAGCCTGGTCCAGGGCCCACAGAACAAGACAGGGCTACTGCACCTACCCCCAAGAGGGCCTAGGCCTCAGTTGACTGGGGGAGGGGCTAACATCAAGGACCGATGCCCCTTCCCTGCCCTAAAGGGGGCCCCAGCCTGACTCCCATACCCCCTACTCTAACCAGTAGCCCCCACTCCTTTCCCAGAGCTAGGGGTAGGAGCCAGCCAGATGAATACCCGTTCCTGCACCCAGGTCATGGCAGCAAGGAGACGAGCAAATCAGAGTGATCCAGAAAAAGGTACAAGACAACGGAGAACAGCCAGTGCGGTGTGAGTCACCACCCTTATTTCCCCTGGCCCCATGTGGGCTAGGGCTCCGGCCCAGGGCTCCTGAGACCTGGTAGTCCCAGCTCAGCCACCCCAAGTGGCATCCACCCCTGGCCTCAGTTTCTCCTATTCTAGAGCTATTTAGACTAAGCTTTTTAGGTCAGACACCCAGCCTGCTGGTTCACCCTCTCAGTCACTCTTGCTGCCACACTGGGGCCCCAATTTCAGTGACTGTGTTTAAGCACACCGTGCAAGGGGCCCCTCCATCGTAGTGACTGTTGAGCAGCATCCAGCGTTGTAGAGTCCAGCCGCTCTGGGAGGGGCTGCAGGGTCACTCATGCCATAAACATGTAGAGCTCCTAGCACAAAGAGACCTCATACCCCACCCGGAGCCCCCCAGCCCCTGCTGCTCTGCAGCTGGACAACACCTTGCACAACAGGCTGCCACGAGTGTGCTAATTCCCTCATAACGCATTCCCTCCCTCTCCCTTTCAGAGAATCGCCCTGGACAAAAACCAGAGATACTCGCCTCCAGCCTGTTATATTTCTTCCAAAAAACAAAGTTAAAAAGAGAGACACCGATTCAGCCCGCATGTTTGCTCCCACGAAACATCCCTCTACCCCGCCCTTCGCCAGCCCGCTCCCTGCCTCTGCCCTCAGGCACAAGCCAAGGGAGATTTCAACACGAGCACTGAGAAATCAATGCACCAGCCATTCTGCATTCATCTCATGCACACGCCCGCTAATTTATACAGGTAACAAGGGTCTCTCTCTCTCTCACACACACGCCTACACACCTTATACAGAGAACAGGGCTAGGGCTCCCCACACAATTCGCACCCCTCCCCAGACACCCTCAGAGCTCCCAAGCCTGTGTGGAGCTCAGGTGTGGGTCCCCGTGGGAACAGAAAGATGCTTGGCTCTGCCCAGCTTCTTGGCAGCTGGGAGGTGGAAGGGCTGAGTCCCGCTGAGCGGGGGAGCTAGAGTGAAAGCCCCAGAAGTTCCCCGATGCTTCCCGGCGTGGCAGGGCTCCGGGCGAGGGGGGAGTCTGTGGGGAAGAGGCTCATGTGCTAGACATAATGCCGCTTTTCTCGCTCTTCACCTTTAGGAACTCCGCCATGCTGGAGAAGTATTTCTGATTGGCCTCCGCCACCTTCTTCTCTGCCGCTTGTGGGTTAACTATCTCCAGACCCTGAGACAGAGAGACAGGGGACTTGGATTTGCCATGCGTGCCTGATCCCGAGACATGGCCCCTGTGGGGTGAGGCATGGGGGGTGTTTATACAGGGACCCTTTGCCCAGTGCTGGGGTGGGAGGCTTTTAACAGCTGCACTGCATGTCAGTTTAGGACAGGAAGGGGTCCTTATGGGAGACATCAGTAAAGAATTTTCCAGCTGGGACAAGAGCTGAAAGATCCCTTGTCTGCCACCTGCCTGTAGCCAGCTGCCTCAGGAAGGGGCCAGAAACGCCCCACACCCACTTGAGGGAAATTTCCTACCCCTCATTCATGAAGGGCTGTTTGGGGCAGGAGAGGGTCAAAGGCCACATCAATATCACCTCCCCAACTGCTCTTGGAGGTGCCGCATCCTTCACAAGCCCAGATCTCTGGCAGCCATGGGGCTTACCTGGAGCGGAGTGAAGGCCACGCTGGAGGCTGTGCCTGAGGAGCGGTCCCGGATTGTTGATTTCCCGCCATACACCATGCTCTGCTTCTGGAGCGTGCGCTGGGCGGGGATGGAGGGACGCGGGGTTAGCATAAGGATGGTACGGGGGGACGACCTAGACTGGGAAGGGGAATGCCAGCAGGGAGCGGGGCTGCGATCGGAATCATGGCTTTGTTTCAAACACAGTCCAAGTCTGCAAGGAACCTGAGCCCATCGCTCAGAGTGGGGAGCTCTCAGGGGGCAAGTACTGGGGGGAGCCCGACTGCCTCTGTGGTGGGGAAAGGGAACCCCATTGCTCCTGAGAGGAGGGGGTCTCTACTGGTCCGTCATGGGAGGAAGGGCTCTGATCCGCCATACTTGCTTGGCACAGAGAGTGGCCGCCACTGGGGTGGGGCGGTGGGATCGGCTCCAGTGTCATGGCACTATGGGACCCCAAGGCGTGAAGGAGGACCCGGCCCGCGTGACTCCATCCCGTCTCCCTTGCTACCTGTAAGGTCTTTGAGATCCTGGCTTTGGTAGCCTCGTTGACCTGTGTCTGCCGCACCCGGCCGCTGCCCGACTTGCCCAGGTGGCCCAGGCTGAAGCCCAAGTCCTCTTGGTAGGCGTCTTCCTCGATCTGCGGTGGCAGGGGCAGATTCCAGGAGTCACACGGGGAAGGCAAGTGGTGAGAGCTCAAAGCACCCTAGAGACTGGCCCTGACTAGCACCAAGTACCTGCTTTGGAGTGGAGGGTACAAGCTCTGTTTTGGGGTGGGGGTAGGGAACAACTTGCACATCTCTGGCGAGTGCGGTTCTGGATTAACTCCAAAATCAGCATCCACAAGGAATTCACCAGGGGCAGCTGCCAGCTCACTCCCGACCTCTTCATTCACAGACCAGCCTGAACAACCACAACTGGGGGAAAGGAACCCAGGAGTCCTGGCTCCCAGCCCCCACTGCTCTAACTGCTAGCCCCCACTCCCCTCCCAGAGCCAGGGATAGAATCTCTGTGGGGAGGGGGACGAAGGTTGGAGGCTGCTCACCTCCCCGAAGCTCATCCTGTTGGCCTGTTTCCGGATCTCCGTGAGCCCCAGTCGCTCCTTCATCTTCCGATACCTGGGAGGGAACGGCTGGTGGATTGATGCTGGACTGACCATGGCGCCCAGCGCTCGGGGTGAGGGGGGGGGGATGTGTGTGTGGTTGAATTATGGGACTAGGACAACTGGGTTCTACTCCCAGCTCTGGGAAGGGACTGGGGTGCCCTCTAGAGGGGAAAGGCCCCAGGGCCCCATTCCCTGCCCCTCTGAGCCAGCCAGTGCCTGCCCTGGTGCCAAATGGGAGCCAGCACCCCCTAGCATGGAGAGGCTCTGTGCCCCATTACCCATGCCCCTCAGCCAGCCCCCCCGCTGGTGCCAGATGGGAGCCAGAGCCCCTGAAGGCCCCCACTCAATCCCCTCTCACCTGCGGCCTCCTCGTTTCTTTCTCTGGCCATCCAGGGGGGCCGGCAGGGGCTTCACCTGCTTCACAGGGGGAGGCTCCTGCCATTTGTCAAACTTCCGTTCAATCTCCTCCTTGAGGTCGTAGCCCACCTGCCAGGGGAGGGGAGACACTGAGAACTAGCCAGGCAGTCGCCACGCCCCACTGCGCACAAGGAGGGCACAGCTAGGGGGCCAGATCACACACACGAAGGGGGCTGCTCTTACCCTTAGGCCCCATTCTCCTCCCAGAGCCAGGGAGAGAACCCAGAAGTCCCAGCTTCCAGCCCCCCTGCTCTTACCCCTAAACCCCACTCCTCATATTTTTGATACCCACCTTCCCCTCTGGGCTCTCATGGAAGCTGTCAACCCGAGCCGCCAGTGTGCACTTTGCAGCAACAAGACGAGCCGCCTTCCTTCGCAGGTCCTGTTGGGGAGAGAGGTGTCAAGGTGCTGGGAGACAGAGCCTGGGGGACGAAGCACAGGGGCATCGGGATGCGGGGAGGATGGGCAGAGCAGGGAGGTGCAGATGAGTGTCAGGGCGCTGGGACCTGGTGTTTGTGAGAGCGCAGA